TGCTTTCGCCTAGAAACACACAGCGTCTCCCTGACATGGCTGCTTCAACACTAACTGCGGTTACTGAAACCACGCGTTCTTTCTTTGCGTGAACATTTGGGGCGCATTATGCAAATATTTCCACATAGTGACGTAGATATGTGGGGGCGTGTTAGAACGAGCCGTTTTAGGGGGGCGTGGCAGTCTCTTAACTTTGATAAAGAATATCTCTTTGGTTGAGACTTTAGTCTTTGCAACTTCAGGGATCTTATCTATGCACAATCAGCTTGTAACACTCCAAAGAGAAAGGAAAACTTGAAATCGCATCATATGACCCCTTTAAAAGCAGAAGAGAAATCAACAAATAACAGTCTAGCATGGGTCTTGGGCCTTTCCAAGTGACTAAACAGATAATTCAGCAAGGTAAGGTTAGCATCCTCAACTCCCCTGCCCTGTCTAAATGCAAACTGCAATGGATCAAGTCTATCTTTTGACTGCTGTAAAATTTCACCTTTAACTACTTTCTCAAAACACTTCATAACTAATGAAGTAAGAGCTACCGGCCTGAAATCATTTAGCTCCTGTGGGGACCTAGTCTTAGCTACAGGAACTATAATAGATTTTTTCCAAATTTCAGGAACTCTTTGTAACATAAGAGAATGGGAGAAAATGTAATGAAAAATTTCACCCAGCTGTTCAGCACATGTACGTAACACCCTACCTCCAATATTATCAGGACCGGGACTTTTTTTTAGTATTAACTCTCTGGAAAAGACCTGTGTCACACTAATATTAAAAGATTTACTGCATGCCGATTATTGTTTTAAAATGTACATTTCTGACTTAAAATCATTATAGTCAAACCTTAAATAAAATGTGTTAAGTTCCTCAGCAAACTGTTTCGCAGAACTGAATCCATTCATTTTAATATCTCTATTCCCTCTGTCTTCTTTACACCCTGCCATTTCCTTCATGCCTTGCCAGGCTGATCTTAAGTTACTGCCACTTAACTGTTTCTCAATTTTATCCTTATTTATTTGAACTCTCACAGCCTTATACAATAGAAGGAATATATAATTGTAGGATAGAACAATTCCTTCTATTGTTCTATCCTACAATAGAAGGAACTATATAAGAGTTCACATCAGGTTTGCATGTACAGCATCTTTTTGTGGAACATCTGAGAAAAAAGTTTTTGTTTTCAGGTTTCCCAGCAGTTCACTTAGATATCCAGTCAACAGAGTGAACTAAAGACAAGAAAAGACAAGACCAAAAAAAAAACAAAAAAAACAATTATATGGTTTAAAACATACAGCTGCTTTAACACACCTTGATGACCTGAACTTTCTCCATGTTTCTTGTGGCAGCTTCCCTGGTGTGTACCAGCACTGTGAATGTGCATCCTGCAGAGTGGAAGAAAATCCATAATTTAAATGTAAATCTATTAAAACTTACTACTCCTACCTGCTCCTACCTGAAGCTCCTACCTGAAGGATTGTTGTCTAGAACAGCATCACATACGCTGATTTTTAAGATCATCGCTCTCAGCAGCTGCTCCACATGAGACAACAGAGTCTCTGAGCTGACACAGCAAAACCCGACACACACATATCAGAAAAATGCATAACTTCCACCTGGATTTTAAAACACTAAATCCACTGTCACTCACCTGATGGACAGCAGTGGAGGCTGTGAGATCTCAAACACAAATCTCTCCACTGGATGGTGCTTTTTATCCATGATCACCACTACAACCTTTTCAGCCTCATTCTGCAAAAAGAGCACAAAACAAGTCTTGTTTACTCACTGTTCAGATGGAAACCATTCTAATCATATTGGTTAGCCTGTTTTTCTGTAAATAGGTACATTAAACAAATATTAAATAAAAACCTCACCTTCTCTATCAGTGGCTTGACACAATGGAGCGTGTCTTGAATGTACTGATTTAACTCAGGATGACATGACATCTGGCAAATTAAATAGAAGTAGTCAAATACCTTCAGCAACATTTTCTGTCTATTTCTCTTTTCCCATTGCATGATGAATTAGCAAAGCAGTGCTCATTCGTACTGTCATCAATCTTAAAAACATTACCTGCACAGGTACGTTGTATTTCTTCCTTTTCTGAAAAATACCAGATGGATAAATCTCTCTGACATATAGGATGAGGTGAATGGCCACTTCCAAAAACTCACACAGAATGTCAGCAGCAACTGAAAATGACCAATATAAAAAGAATATTCACAATGACGTTATTTGAAAGCTGTGCAGTGCAATATACAAATGAAATAAAAGTTACCTTGGCCAAAATTAAGGTCCTGCCTCGTCAGAGTGGCCATACTGAAGTAGCCAAAATATATGCAACAACCTTTAATGAAAAGAGGAGCTTCTCGATTATAAAATATCAGCGATCATGCATATAGTTGCTCCAGAATACGTGTGATAAGAGTGTTGTATTCAGAAAAAAAACGAAAACTATTACTGTAATACACTCAGTCCGATTATTGGTAAAATGTCTGTCATCCACAAATAAACAGTAAATAAACAAACATTTAATAAAACGCTGCTCGAAGGATGTTTACACTTTTCTTCTGTAATCTGCAAGAGAACAGCAGCGCTATATGGCTATACGCCTACTGCCACCTACCGGAGCGGAAGAAGAACGCGACAACAAACCATAATGTCACAGTACTGACTTATAAAAGAAAACAGAACAAAGGACTGGATCTTGTATGTATCTACTTATATGCAGTAAGTAAGTAAGTTGATAGTAAGACCAAAGATCTCAAATAAACTGTATGACAACAGGTAAAATAACTTATTTTGGTGCAAAATAAATGACACCTTTCTGAGCAAACTACAACTGGCAGGTGAGAAATATAGACTATTAACATTAACGGAACGGAACAAACTGATTGTTAACTGATATGTGTCCACTTCTTCAGGGATTTCATAAAATATAATTTATTTATTTAAAGCTATTCATGAAATAGATATTTATTCACATTTAGTCCTGCATAATAAAAGCCTATTTAATTCAGGAGACCTGACCAGCAGTTTATTTTTATTTAACCAGGACAGCATGTAATTCAGGGATTTCATTTATGACAGGCTGTAAACAAAGGTTTACCTGAATGACCTCATGGACCCGCTGCTCTTTAGAAATGACATACATAAGACAGTGTCAGAGACTACCCAGTCAACACGTGAGATCATGCGATGATCACAGTGACATATTTGATTTACTTCCCAGTTGATGTCCTGAGAACCTGTGAGTATTCAAATTGTGCTTTGATTCGCGACAGATTTGCAGATAAAGTAGGAAAATCATCAAAATAGTCATTCGATCTGTAACTTACTGGATTGTAAATGTATTACTGCAGTACATACTTTAGCTATTTGGGAAAAACAACTATAACTTTTGGAAGCATTGAATATGAATACAAAATATCAGCTGTCTATGTACACTGGACTTCAGTGCTTTATCTTATTCATTAACGGTTCTTTATTATGGATTACTGAATTGCTGAATGATTAACTTTCCAAGACACAGCAACGTCCATAACTGGTAAGTAAATACAGCCTTAAAGGTCCCCTGAAATGCTTAGAAACACATTACTCTATGTGTTGACGTCATTTTAACTGAAACAGGAAGACAGGGCGGGACATATCAAGCAGCCCCGCCCCTTTTAAAAATAGCCTATAGCGATCGTTTATATCACAGTTTGGGCTAGAGACGTTCAGAGCCTTTGAGCTATGATGAGATATGATGAGATCTTTCATGTACCTGATTAATACATTTTTTGGTGTTTTTTTATCCTCTTTTCTTTATTTGTTTTGTTCCTGCCCTTCTTTATGTTCATAAAAAAACTATTTAAATGCATCTTTCTCTTTTAACAGTCATCTGTCAACTTTTTTTTCTTCTTCTCTTCTCTTCCATATGTTCAGATGACATTGAATGTATTGTTGATACATTATGTGTAATGTATGCAAAGTTGTATTTCATTATTGTCATCTCTGAATTGTTTGCAATAATAAAAAAAAAAAACCTAAAAAAAAAAAGCCGTTGAGTTTCGTAAAGCCGCATTTGACAGGGTATGCCAGCCACAATCTCATCCATATTCTTGCTGTAGTATTGTTGCTGCCACCATGTCGTGAAGGCGCTGTGTGCTTCGTTGTGAAAGCGAAACTACTTTGTTTGGCCTTCCAAAAGAGGACGATATCTGCTTCGTCATGCCTGGAGCTGATCCGTGCTGGTCGCTGAGGAAATACTTCAACTTCGCGCTGTCCATCGCCGGATCGGCTTTCACCGTGGACAAAGCGGAGTCCAGCCCCGGGTCGTAACATGTGGTTGCCGCAGGCATCACAGTATGGTAGGGACGTAACATTGCCGTCACACGCTTGAGGCATTTGGCCAATCACAACGCACTGGATAGCTGGCCAATCTGAGCACACCTAGCTTTTTCAGACCGATGAGCTTTGTTAAAATCGAGGCGTTTCAGAAAGGCGGGGCATAGAGGAGAAACAATAATGTACAGTATGTGGAAAATAATGTGTTTTTTTAACCTTAAACTGCATTAACACATTTCATTACACCAAATACACAAAATAATGTTCTTTTTAGCAGCATCATATGACCCCTTTAAGCTCTCCAAAAGACACTTTGAAGTGAAAAGTAGCAGGATAAGCTTGAGTTTGCTATAGTAGTTTCTCCTTTTTGTTTGTGTTTGCTTTGTAGCTGACTGAGGAGCAGAGAGCTGGAAGGAAATGTAGTCCAATGAGGCCAGTGTTCAGTACAACCGCTGGAATGAAGACAACATGAACATGCAAGTGCCGCATTCACAGTCCAGACTGATTGGGTGAGAATCTACTCTATATATTTCATATAACTGATAAATAATTTTCAGAATTGTGATTGGAGTCAATCAAACAACTCATGTCAATCACATCTGTGCCCATATAGTCTCTATAACAGACTGTGCACCGGACGTCTTGGCATTGTAATGAAAGCGGCAGTGTCTTTGACTGTGATGGTAGTTATATATATTGTTGGATACATCACAGGATACTATGCTCACCGATGCTGAAGAGGACACTATATTGACGGAACTGGCTATTTAAGGAACTGGCTGTTATTTGAAGCATGAATTATGTCCATCAAAGAAGTACCAACATTTATAAAATGTGTTTTAAAATGTGTTTTTAAATAAGTGACTTTTATTTTAACATAGTATCTTAACCAGTGTTAACAAGTAAAATACTTAAATCAAAAACCAGATTTTATTTTATTTCTTATTTGAATGTCAGTGACCATCTCATATCCAAAAGTGCATTAGCGGTCGCAATACATAGCCTATAATTTGCTATTATACCAAGAATAAAATAAAGTTAACAGTAAACACTTTACAGTGAGGTTTAATTTTTGGTTGATGCATTATCATGAACCAACAAGGAACAACACTTTTACAGCAGCTTTTAGCAGTCTATGTGCATACACTACGGTTCAAACGTTTGGGATCAGTAAGATTTAATTTTTTAGAGACAATATTTTTATTCAGCAAGTATGGATTAAACTGATCAAAATTGACAGTAAACACATTTAAACTGTTTTTAACATTGATAATAATATGAAATGTTGTAGAGCAAAGGCTGCTGAAATATGCAGCTTTTCCTTCACAGGACTAAATATAAAACAGTTATTTAAAATTGTAGTAATATTCCACAATAGTACTATTTTTACTGTCTTTTTTATCAAATAAATGCAGCCTTGGTGAGCATAAGAGACCTTTAAAACATTAAAAAATCTTACCAACCCCCAAAACTTGGAATGGTAGTGTATACCAAGTCATTTTATCATTTCATGTTGAACATTATTACTGTTTTAAGAATGAAAACAACACATAATGCATTAACTAATGTTAGCAAATTGAACATTATTTTACACTGTTTACAATTAATATTACATTTGACATCAGTCCTGGTCATAGATGATTTTAATAGTATCCACATCCTGCTCTTCGAGCATTTGGTCAATAATCTCATCTTTTGATGAAGAAAACAAGCTTGCATTTACTTTGACAATCCATGCCGTGATCCTTTGGTTAGTATAATACTCATCCTCCTGACTGTCCATCATTTCATTCATTTCGTTCTCATTTTCCATCTCAATAGCCGAATCAGAGAATGACTGCGCAAGTCTGTCCTTAGATACACTCGCTGAATCCTTCATCCTTTCTGTCCTCACTTCTCTGTCTTTGGCACTGACGTTATTGGGCTCTACATCCAGAAGTTCATTCTGTGGCAGCCCTGCTGATACACCAGGGATCTTGTCCTGTCTCAAGTCTTGGTTTTGAACCTGCAGACTGTCATTAAAAACAGCCAGTCCATTGCAGATCAGCTGACATTCCTGCCTTTGTCTACTGAACAATGCCTTGTCCATCCTTATGCTGGTGGACAAGATATTGGCTTTCTTCTCCTGACATCCTACTCCCCAGCTTGACACACAGGTTTTTGCACTAGACATGGAGATAGTGGATATTCTTGGGCTGTGTATTGGAGGCAGTGAGCTACTATTTGTCAAAGTCCTGCCATCGTTCCCCTTCGCCATTAAAACCTTACAAGGTTTGATAGTTTGATCTTTTCCATTTCCAGCCAGTTTCCACCCGGATGATAAATGGTAGGATCCCTTCGTTCCAATCAACTCCAGACAGATGGGCAGAGATGGACTGGAGGACTTAAATGTCTCAAACGCATGGAAATTCTCCTGGATGTTGAGAGTTTTGCTAGATCCACTCTTCCATCTTGTCCTGTGGTCCCAAATGTCATTCCTCTGGGTCATTTTGAGAATTTTTTAATAAGAGCAAAATGGATGACTGTCAATGTCATGTAGCATGATGGGCTGTCCTGAGAGACAGTGTCCTTCTTGCATCTCTTATAGACAGCTCAGACCTACTCTCCTCCTCTTTACATTTCCTGAGTCCAGTCATCTGATCTGTAACCAAACCCGGAGCATTCATGTGCTCCACAGGCACAAACAGAGGATGCAAACAATGCTACTGTCACTTCACTAAACATGTCTGAAGATGTGCATTTAAAAATAGTTCCTGCTAACCTAACCTAACTATAAACTGAATTATGAGACCAACTACTAGTTTTGATATTGATGCAGATGTTTTTCATCCAGAGGGTCAAAAGTTCCTATACAGAGTCATCCTGAGGTTAAAAACCTTGCTCAAGGAAGTAAACTTGATATTGAAAGATTTGACTGTATAATTTTATAGCTTACCCAATTGAGAGATTCAGCAAAACAGGGAAAGTCTACAAAAAATGTTAAGTTTATTTTACTGACAAGGACAAAGTAACTTTAACATTAATTATATTAGAAGTGTAAATCTGTACACAAAGGTGGAAACAAACTTTCTTACAAAAGACAGGAGTGTAAATGAGAACCATTGAATCCAACATTTGAATTAATAGCTGTTTTAATTTGATGAGAGAGAAAACTGTATGGAAAGTGGGGTAAATGAATTACAAATTTAGAAAGAAAACCAACAGCTGAATTTTGTTATCGGATGACAGTTAGATTGCTGACGTCGGACATCAGGTCAGTTTTTGATGGGTAAACCACTTTAAGGTTTCCATCTACGTCCACGACCTTCACTTGTAGTACGGTCAGCTCAGGGGAGGCCAGGTCCTCTGCGGGACGATCTGAAATCACATCCGTCTCTTCATCCGAGCCCACATCCTCCTTTGCATCAAAGGTTAATTTATTAAGCTCTGCCATTTTCTAAAATAGAAACAAGAATAGTCAGAGAAAATGAATATTACTCTAATAAACATGGATGCTGTTTTCCACTGTAAATATTCATAGCTTGCTAAACGCTACTAACCACCATGAATGCTTGTGTAATTGACTTTGGATGAGGATACCTATGTGAAAACAGATGCCTTTTTTAATTGTCTTGGTACTTAGTAATAGCATAACTGCTAATGAATGCAGATAAACTGAATGCAATGACCCAGCTTGATGACTGATTTAATGGCACTGATTATTCAGAGTGTCTTTTATAGTAAAATATTTAGTAGTTATTTGAGCTGTCGTAAAAGAAGAATGTGCAAAAGTGGAACAGGTAATTTGTATCATGGAGAAAATCTCACAGCTGCAATCTAAACCAATTCCTCGGTTTTATCTTCCTTGTCACATTTCACGGTTTTCCATCACGTCAGGTACTTTTTACACAATTACAAAAATAGGATTTTTAAGTTCTTGCTATAAATTAGGAACGTCAATTAAACCAAACAAACAATTTGACTGATAAAATCAGCAGCAGCCAGGGGCTCTTGAATTGCACTTGTATTATGTGATGGTGCAATGCCTCCGAGACACTGTACACCATGTGTTTGTGTGTGTGTGTGTGCGCGCAGAGAGATGAGCTAATTTCTTCCACTAGAGTATCAGCATTCAAAAGCTGTGCAGTCAAATAGCATAACAATGCTAATCCAATCCTGCACTCTTACAGCGCAGACTCAAATCAGTGCCTTCACTGTATATTATTTACAGCATAGCAATACTAGTACAAATCAATATGAAAACAAAAATCAAACAAAATCAAACAAACAAAAACAAAAAACGGCCAATCCCACCCATCTCTTGTACTACAGACACTGCAGGATTGATATTTTGGGATTGAAGGAATGATTTAGTTGTGATTCTATTGTGATTTAGACTGTGAACCATACAATTTGGTTCATATGTAAATAAACACAAAATGCTAAATGAAATACATTTTATAATATAAAATATAATATAAAACAAAACACTAGTAATATCTTACTATTATCAGTGCGTCCATGACATCTTTACAGATCTGCAGACCGGTGGAGCTCGTCACCTCTAAAAACAGCTCTTGTGTGGACTTCTTTATCTGCAGAGACAGAAGTTCGCTAAAAATGCTGTTTGGCAAAAATAATACTAACTATTATAATAAAAAAATAAAATATTTTTTAAACAATTGTCATGGTAATTCTTCTCTTTTAAATGTGAAAAAATAAATAAATAAAATAAACATTTGCATTAATAAGAATGTATGAATATGACACTGCTGCTTCACATGCTTTAATATTGTATTTTATTTTTATGACATATTTTCAATGTCTTTCTGGATAAAGAAATAATAAATATCCTTAAAAAAAACCATATGAAGTCATAAAATCAGTCGAGTTGATCATGCCATCCACCATCATCAAGACCTGAAATAACCTTTGCATACTTCACTTAACTTGCATAGATTACCTTTGTCCTCTCACTGTTTGTGATTGGTGGGAACGAGACCACGTGATCCTCTGTGTCAACCAAGCAGGGGTAAAGATCTTTCCCATCAAGGAGTTGAAGGTATCTGGGATGAAGAATTAAAAGTTGGTAATACGTCCATGAAACGCTGAATAATGAATTAATTCACAGTGTCACAGTTCAGTATTTATACTTAGTGTTCTGTGCAGTCAGTGCGATTACATGGATGAAATTACACCAATTACCCACAACAACAGGACAGGTGTCTGACAAACGAGGGATATTTTTCGGATCACTTAGAAAGGCCGTAGATAGTAAACAATGCCATTGAAGAGCATGACCTAGCCCCTTTGCATTGAAAATGATGTTAGATTTAGCACAAAACCACTCATTTGCTTAACAGATTGTTCCCTCCACAGTTTCAAACTATACTGTAGATAAGTCATTATAATATTAAAGATTTACCACTATTGATATTATATAATCAGGTATTCAATATGCACTTTCTTACTTGTGGAGTCCTGAAACGTTTTGTCGCTTTTTCTGTTTTCTCTGTTCATCTGCCTCCTCTTGAAGCATCTTCAGAAGTTCAGCTGCCTTCATCTCCTTACGACCCAGAGGAACTATCTGCACACATTGACAATATTATCAATTTTTTGTTGTAAAACGATTATATATATATTACTCTGCAGTAGGTATGTTTTTTTGATGTGGCAGCAATATTTTAATGAAAATTTGTTTCATTTTTTTTTATTAACACACTCGAGGATGTGCTGGATTGTGAATATAATCAGCTGA